CAGAGCAGGCTGGGGCCGGGTCACTTCACTTCCCGCAGGAAGTGGCCAGCCTCCCCCCACACACACACCTGCAGAGGCCTGGGGCCCCACGCAGCTCCCCCCAGGGGGGCAGCAGGGGGGGGGCTGCGTAGGGCACCAAAATGGCTCGGGACAGCCCTGTGTGGCTGCTCTGTCCCTTGGAGCTGCCAGCACCATGTGAACCGCATTGACCATCTGGGAAAAAAAACTTGTAAGGAGCGTTGCAGTGATCATGCTAAGTATTCTTCTCCACTTCCCTGGCATGGTACATCTTCAAAGCGTGTTAGAGACGAACTGGAACGACACCTAGGGAATCAATTTGACTTCGGTGTTCTTGGCTCCCAGGCCTGTTCTCAGACTCCTCTGGACTTTAGATAGCGATGTTAAAACTCCTGGATTGCCAAGTAATTGTCTAGAAATACCTGTGACTGTGAGTGCATTGTCTTGGTGTCTCACTGAGAGCTGCAGCTTTCCCGTAGGAAATCTCACCTGACCTGGTATGTGGCCCAGGAAGCGTTGCTCAGTAGATGAGGCAGGAGAAGCTGTAGTGAAGACTGACAACCAGGCCATTGCTCCATTGTTGTTCATCTTAAACTGCTGTGAAATTCACGAAAACTGACCCTTTCAGGAGCCTCCAGGTGCTTATCAACTGAAATGTAAGCTCCATGATACCTCTGTGATGGAGGTCATTAGGAATCCAGTCTGTCAGGGAAACTGAGGCACAGATAATTGTCTGAAATTGCATGACGAGTCAGTAAACAGAGCTGGGATTAGAACTGGAGACTGCTGATGTGCGGTAACCACTAGACCACACACTCTCCCTGTTGCTGGTATAACAAATGCCGCTTACCAACAGTATGGCAGCTGCCACCCTGGAAAGCCGCGTAGGTTTTAAGCCAGCAGGGACCATCCTCTCATCTAGTCTGACCTGTATCACACAAGCCAGAGAACCTCAGCCACTGCTTTCACTTTGAGCTAGGGTGAATGTTCTAGAAAGTCCTCCAGCCTTGACTTAGACTCCAAGCGGTGGAGAACCCACCGCCTCCTGAGGTAAGTTGTTCCAATGGTTAATTACCCTCAGCGCTAAGTGTATAAAAACTCAGCAGTTTAACATATCAGCTGCCTCTTACATGTGCCAAATGCTTCTGCCATTAATCTGGGGTTACCATATTTTAGTTTTAAAAAAGGAGGACACGGCACGGGGCCCCGCCCCCGCCCCAACTCCGCCCCTTCCCCGCCCCCAACTCCACCCCTTCCCCAAAGTCCCTGCCCCAACTCTGCCCCCTCCCCTGAACACTCCGCCCCCTGCTCCTCCCACTCCCCAGCTTCCCACGAATCAAATGTTTGCGGGAAGCCTGAAATGGAGGCAGCAGGTAAGCTGGGGCAGGATGCGGCGCGGCCCAGTCCGGCCCTCCTGGCCAAGCGGCTCCCTCTGGCGGCCGGCCGGCCCAGGC